TTTGTTAGTTTTCCTTCTGAACAGATCCCATGCGACCCTCAGCTACAGGGTCTGTGCGGAGTTTGTGTTGAGGTCCACTCAGACCCTTGTCATTGGCCCTTGGGGTATCAGGCGAAGTGGGAGGCCTTGCAGAGATTAGCAATTATTTGCCCCGTGAACAGTGGGGCAGTTGTTGCCCCTGGGGTTCTGGATTACAGCCATCCCATTACTGGGGATATACCCAAAGGATTATAAGTCATGCTGCTATAAAGACACATGCACACGTATATTTATTGTGGCACTATTCACACTAGCAAAGTCCAACCCAAATGTCCAGCAGTGACAGACTGGATTAAGAAAATGTGGCACATATACACCATGGAATACTACACAGCCATAAAAAAGGATGAGCTCATATCCTTTGTAGGGACATGGATGCAGCTGGAAACCATCATTCTCAGCAAACTATCACAAGAACAGAAAACCAAATACCGCACGTTCTCACTCATAGGTGTGAATTGAACAATGAGATCACCTGGACACAGGAAGGGGAACATCACACACCAGGTCCTACTGTGGGGGGTAGGGGGGAGGGATAGCATTAGTTGATATACCTAATGTAAATGATGAGTTAATGGGTGCAGTACACCAACATGGCACATGTATACATATGTAACAAACCTGCACGTTGTGCACATGTACCCTAGAACTTAAAATATAATTAAAAAATTGCAAAAAAAAAAAAGAAATTGTGGTGTATATGTATGATGGACTACTAGTCAGCCATAAAAAGTAATAAAATAATGGCATTCGCAGCAACCTGGATGGAATTGGAGACCATTATTCTAAGTGAAGTAACTCAGGAATGGAAAACCAAACATCGCCTGTTCTCACTCATAAGTGGGAGCTAAGCTATGAGGATGCAAAGGCATAAGAATGATACATTGAACTTTGGGGACTTAGGAGAAAGGATGGGAGGGAAGTGAGCAATAAAAGATTACTCACTGGGTACAGTGTATACTGCTCAGGTGATGGGTGCACCAAAATCTCACAAATCACCACTAAAGAACTTACTCATGTAACAAAATGCCACCTCTGCCCTAAAAACCTACGAAAATAAAATAAAATAATATCACTATCAGAAAAAAAAAAAAAAGCCAATGTTTTCCCTTTCTGGAATTTCTTCTTTTTATTTCTGAAAATGTAATGCAGACTAGCCACCAACATGAAGCTACATTTGTATGGAGGCAGCCTGGATGCTGTCAAGATAAACTAGTTCTGTTTATATGATTGCATGTCCTTTGAGTGTGTGTATTTCTGCCAACCTCAGAATTTTAGGTATTTCCGATTTCATCCATGTGCTTTAACAGGCTACAGTGAAACTCACATTATAGAGAAATAAACTGTCTTTTTTCACATTCTAGGAATTTCAGTGATGATAAAAATTTTTAGCCAGATCAATTGCAATTTAAATCCAATTTTTTTCTTGGAGTAGAGTGTATTATAGAGAATAAAAGAGGGCGTGGTGGCTCACACCTGTAATCCCAGCACTTTGGGAGGCTGAGGCGGGCAGATCACAAAGTCAGGAGATCGAGACCATCTTGGCTAACACGGTGAAACCCCGACTCCACTAAAAATACAAAAAATTAGCCAGGTGTGGTGGCACATGCCTGTAGTCCCAGCTACTTCGGAGGATAAGGCAGGAGAATTGCTTGAACCTGGAGGCAGAGGTTGCAGTGAGCCAAGATCGTGCCACTGCACTCCAGCCTGGGCAACAGAGTGAGACTCCGTCTCAAAAAAAAAAAAAAAAAAAAAAAAAATTTTTTTTACTTTTTTTTTTTTTTTTTTTTTTTAAATAAAGTCCAATATGTATAGAATTTTAAATCTCCTTCTTAAAAATAAGTTACTCTCTTGCCTTGAGGATAAAGTCTGCACTTCTAAACATGATTCATATGTTCTTCTTGTCCAGGCTCTTGTTTACCTCAGTGTTCCACCCTCCTACCACTGTGCATCTTGCATTCTATGCAGCAGCCACTCTGAATTCCTTTCCATTTCTCCGGCGTGCTTTGCTTTGTCTCATCTCCTGCCTTTGCACACACAGATCCCTCTGCCAAGGTGCAGTACCCACCTCCTCCCTACCTCTCCATTCTCCTTAGCTTACTTCCACTGAGTCTTCAGGTCCCAGCTTAGATGTAATTTCTTTCCCAGAAAGAAATTATAAGGTGTTAAGTCTTGAAAGACTTAAGTTAATGATCAGTTATTAAGTTAATGATTAAGTTAATGATCAATTTAAGTTAATGATCAGTGTCCTTTAGAATGTAGGCTTTGTAAGGTCATGGTAGATCTTTTTGATGCTAACATTAATGCATATCATAGTGTACAGAACATAGTACATGCTCAGAAAATATTAATTGAATGTTGCTGAATCTAGAACAATCCTCATATGATGTTGTGGTCTACAACATCACATAGAAAATGATGTTACTGACCTACTAACCAAAGGACACTTGTCTTGAATTATGTTATCCCCAGGATCACCTGAGGCCAAAAGAACTAAAGTATTGAAAGAGTAGGGCATAGGACATAAGTTGTCCTTTGTATAGTAAATAATTGTATTCAGTGACCAAATTCATGACTTTAAACTCATTATACACTAACTGACTGAAATAGGGCAATAGAGACTGACTTTGAAAAAAAAAAAAAAAAGGTCAAAAATAACATACACACAATTTACAAAAGAAACCCTTCTCTGATTTGGATAATTTAAGCTTGCAAGATTTGCTTCTTCTAGTCTAGACGTTCAGGGGAAACCATCCGGCAGCAGCAGACCAGATGCTCCTCTCTGGGCAACCATCACTGCTTGCCAGCATGTGCTCATTGATTTTGGAGTTCCTCTTTGAACTAACATTTGACTTGATCTAGAGTACTTCTGAACTTGTATATTTTGCTGTCTCAAAATTTGTTCTTGATATTAATCTCTCCATCCTCCCTCTTCCATGTGGCCTTGTATTTCTAATCACAACCATCCACAACAATCTTCCTGCTTCAAGCTTCACACTTGTATAATGACAGCTGGTGTCAAACCAAGCTGTCCTCCACATTCCCGGGACAGAGGCCTGTGGCTGCTGCCATTTCCACCACCATCATGGCAATGCTCTTGGCAGACTCAAGGCCTCGGAACCTGGCACTCAAATGCCAAGGCTTCTGGGAGTATGGCAGGCATTGAGGTATGGGGATAGACCTGGTGGGGAGAGGGAATGTTTGCCTATAACTATTTCTCTGACATACATAAATACAGCAGAGCTAGGGAGACTTTAAAAAACTGGCAGCATGGCAATCAGAATTTTTCTTTGGCCACAGACTGTGATGTAGAAGAAGAAAAGCTCTCAGCTCTACACCACAGCATCATCGGTTTACCAGTGCATTCTCATTCACAGGGCTGGAGGGAGAAGGCTCATACAAGGGTGTTTGCTAGGGCCAGTTGACCAGAAAGTATTATTGAAAGTCTTAAATGGATAATGAGAGATATTTTTGTATATTACATGTACAAATGCTTAGCAATCCATGGCTGGGTTTTTACCTTGTGTAATTGATAATACTGGAAGGCACCAACTCCCCCTTGTTCTTCTGCAGTCCAGAGCACCAGCCGCAGAGTCCTCTTTGGACGCAGCCCTGGGAAAATAATAAAATAAAAAAAGTGATACTTTAGTTGATTTTGAATTTTATAAAAAAATGGCAGGGTCCCTCATCTGCCACGTGGAGACAGGAGGAAATCAGAGGCACTCATCTCTCACTGGTGTGGTTACCTCCTTCAGGGTATGGCTGGCACAATAAAAGAGCAACTTCAGGGCTGATCTCCAGCCCAGGTTAATGGAGAAAGGGGTTGTGACAAATGTAGTTTGCAGGCCAGAAAGTGAGAGCCTCTCATCACATCCTTAACTGGATATCCTGCCCAGAAGAACCCAATGGATGGCCAAGATCAGTGAGATATTAGATCATATCTGGAAGATGCAGTTAGGACGACCCCAAGCTGATTGTGGGGTCTTTCAATGATCTTAATTGAAATTAAATCGTTTGGGTCTACTTAAGGATAAGCCATATAGGGCATGACTTTTTAGTCTAAACATACAAGCATAGCTAGATGCCCATGCTATCTTCAGTAATGTAATAACTGAAAAGCAGATTCAATAGTTATGCTTCCCCATGGCCAATTTCTTCTCCTACTTGGAAATAGAAGGTCATTCCCTTAAGGTCAATGAAAATTAATTGAATGAAGATGATATTTATTGACCTTATTACTGCACAAACAGCTTGGTGGCAATTTTATTGACTTGTGATATACAAATTTGTATCCTGGACTTGTTAAAGTTTATGGCAGATGTGGTGGATCCAGAACTATTTTTGGCTGACAATGTCTGCTCAGTGAAAGTTACCTACAAGGAATCTGTTTCTGAAGTTTAAAAAAACAGCAAAAGAGTGTGCTAAAAGTGCTACTTTGTGACCAAGAATTAACACCTGTTCTGATTCAGACTGATAATGGCATTTCTGAGAAATAACAAAGGCAGAAAAATGTGAAGCTGTGCTTAAATCTTATTAAGAGCATTTTCCCACCTCCTCATGGGGAACCATAGGAAGGGTTAAAATGGACTTTGAGTGGCTCTGAGATGGACACACCACATATCTCAAGTATAACCACATATGTGCTGCCACCCAGGTATATGGCCCTTGAAGGAGCCAGCTGGCTAGCTGCAGCCTGGATGACAAATGCTCCTGGGACACAGAGCTCTCTCCTGTCTCTTACAGGCTTCAAAAGGCATTCTCCTTTCCTAAGCCTAGTGCTAAGGAGCTGAAAAGGAGGAGCTACACTTTTTTATGAAATTGAATATAGTTGTGAAATCACTTTATACTTCAGCATGTTAACATAATTTAAAAAGCATAGGTTTAGGATGCAGGTTGACCATAGTTGCAGTTAAAACATGGACAAACAATTTCTACATTCAGTTCCTCAGCAATCCTATTGGTGTTTCCATCGAAGTCCATATAGAATCCAACTTCTCATCTTGGCCACTACTGTGGTCTAAACCCCCACCCTCTGTTGTCTGGATTGCTGCAGTGGCCTCCTAACTGAGCTTGTTGCTGAAGCCCTCACCTCTCTTCAGGTGGTGCTCCACACTGTAACCAGGAGAGTGTTGGCAAAACCTAAGCCAGATAATGTCATTTCTTGGCTCAAAACCTCCAATAACCAGAAGTAAGCTTCTGGAAGACAGGGATCTATGCTTTTTATTCATTGTAATGTCGCCAATTCCTAGATTGTTTGACACACATTAGGTGCCCAATAAATGGTACTGAAGGAACAAATAAATGCAAACCTTAGTGTCTTGATTAGAATGAAATTTGAAGCCACTTATCCAGTCTCAGCTTCTAAAAGTCTTCTGCTAGCTCATTCCCAGGCAAGGTGTTATATTTGAAAAAGGCAGACAGATCTGGTGAATCTTGCTATCATTCGGCACTAGCTGTGTAACTACTGGGAAATTTATCTACCTGAAATTATGCCTCTTTATCTGAAAGATGAAGATAACATTATGTGCCTATGCCATAACCCCTTTTCAAATTGAATGAGATGTGATAACACATGTAAGACAAACCTGGGGCTGGCATGTAATTGGCATTCAGTAAGTGAACAATAAAACCACATAACACACTTTCACCTCACAGAGTAGAAGGAATATCTAAATGCCCAGAGAGGAAATTCTTCCAAAGGATTTTGAATACTTGGAGAACAAGAATTCTAGAGTGCCCACTGTTTGCTCTACCAAGTCAAACCACCTACCCACATTCCTAGCATAAACTTACTAAACTGTTGTCTGAGGAAGAAATCTAATCAGGATTGCTAAAAATAACAATCTATGGTTTCTTTCAAAGGAATGTGCTTAAAGTCAATTTAAATGAAATAACTTGCTTGTAACAGGTAAAAATAAGAAAGGATAAAGTACTATTATTGTTTATATGCTGCAAATAAAAATTCTAAACATTTTTTAAATCCACAAGAAAAGGAAAAAATACACTTTCTTTTCACATATCTGTGCACCTACCAGTAAAATACTACCAAATTATTAAAATGACAAAATTCTCTAAATAAGAATAAACAGGCAGCACAGGCTGTAGAATATTCATTTTTAAAAAGCAAACGCTCTGAATATCCCCATAGATTTTGTGTGCCACATGAAAGTTATTATCCTACAGGGTTAGTCTCCTTTACATTCCAAATCAGTCACATGGCCAGTGATGTATTAAGGTAATAAAGAGGTAATTGATTTGAAGTGAGGAATGCTAAGGCCTCAGCACAACAACAGCATAGTTGGTGCATAGCTCGCCCTGAAAAGACTAACAAGCCTGCTCAAGCCCTTGAGAAGCTTAGCATCCATTAGCAGGGAACCCTAGCACCTACTTGACAGAGTGAAGGCCTTAGGAAGAAGTTAGGAAGCCAGTAGATTAGCAAATATTGAGTCCAAAGTCTCTTTCTACTCTGACAGTCTGATTGTCCCTGAACCTGAGAGAAATGCGTGAGGCTTCATTCAAGAACTAGACCTTAAACCTAGTGAGGAGTTCAGGTCCCCCGTCTACCCAAATCCATGATGGACAGTGTGGGGTACAGAAAGGCATTGGCTGTGGAGTCTTAATGAGCCGTGTTTCACTCCTGGCTCTGCTGCTTCTGGCTCTGTGAGATTAGATTAATTATAATACCTAATCTCTTCATCTATATAATAAGGAAAATGGTAATTGCCTGATGGGATTGTTATGAAAGTTAAATGAAACAAGGCAAATGTATATCAAGCATAGTCCCTTGCACATAGTAGGTTTTCAAGAATTGTTTATTAGCTTTTCTCTCCATCACTCTAGACCTTTCTGGTCAGTGCCAACAGTCACCAGGGAGAGCGTGTGGTAGAACTAGGTGAGATGCATGGTCCTCAGGCCGCTTCTTTAGGAGCCCCAGAACACTTTTGTTTATACAGAATGCATAAGCCCAGTCAAGGGAAAAAACAGATTTCATCTAACCTGTAGGAAAACACATAACTTCTTTCAGTACAGAAATCTCCCTCATCCCAATATAGAGCATATCCAAATCTAAATAAATAGAAACAAGTTCTTCCCTTTTAAAATGAGGGCCAATCAGAATGTTTAGTTTTTGGATAAAGTCAAAAGGCTAAATATATCTGAAATCTGAAGACAACTGATATAAGGGCATCTATATTTATCATTTTCAAATGATAGAATTTATTGTGTATCTTAAATCCAAACTAGTTTGAAAAACCATAAGTCTTAAATATATACAAGAAAGCAACAACAACAACAATAATAAAGCAATAACAATGGTAGCAACAAAACAAGTGATATGAGGTCAAATGTATGGAATTAATTCTGTGGCAGATTTGGGGTAAGTGGAAGCTCTGTTGTAAGCCTGGCCCCTATTGTGTCATGGCTTGGTAGCATGCAGCTCCATTTCCAAGGCAAGCATGTGAGAGAAAGTCCTAGAATTAGAAGAGGCAGGGAGGACCCTGCTGAGTCTTAGCTGGTTAGGAGTCAGGTCTCATTGAGGTTTTGTTAGGGGAGAGGCAATCAGTTCTCCTATAAATGTATAGAAGGTACCAGAGATGCCTTGACCTCCTGGAATCTATAGTACGACTTCCAGATAATACAACAGTTTATAGCCATCATGATTTTCCTTTAAAACAACATCAACTACCAATAATGTATCAGAACTTGGTTTTGGTTTATGAAATAGGATATACATGCATTTCATTTTCATTTCATTGAGGAGAATACTAATACTAGGGGGAAGAGAAATTATGAAAAAAATTTCTTTGGACTTTTTTTTTTCATTATTCTTAAATTTAAAGAATTCTGAGAGAAAAATTATGATTAAGCTGATAATTTGAAAGGTCAGTTGACTGTCTTACACTTGCACAAAGAGAGGGGCAGAGCAAAGTAAACTTGGCTCTCAGCAGGAAAAGATTAATCCAGCCTTGTAGACAACTTTCCTAAATCATGAAATCTACAGAACACTGTTAACAATATGTGTTGACCCCAACACTAATTTACTATTCGGTTTCAACCCTCCAGAACTATAGATAAGTATTGTTCTCCCTTCTGTGATCTAACTTTGCAGAGAAAACACAACTTCCTTCTGCAGTAAATATACTCATTTTCTACTAGTTCACAAATACAACTGTTGTCCCACTCTGTTTCAGCAACAGCTCAGAAGAGAGTGCCTACACTTATATTCCTGCAATAAACTTAACTAATAAGAGTACAGTATCTGAGACACAAAAGTAAATAATGACATGGTAGCATGTGAATTGAATGACAAGAGGTAGTAAAGCAGAGTGGTTAAATGCATGGGTTTGGGGTTGAGACCTCTTTCTGCTTTGGGCAAATTACATAATCTGTCATATAATTTATGAGCACATTATCACTGATAAAATAGGGGCATGGTTAGACAAAGATAAATTATTTTAGTGAAGTAAACTGCAACTACTTCTCTTTAAAGGCAGGAACAGAAGATCACCTTGAAGAAGATCTTTGTTCTTGGAAGAATCCCTTGGTGTCTCTCTTAGTTATGTAAATATAAAGCAATTAGGCACTTTGGGGAAGCATTAGGGCAGGGCAACAAA